AAACATTTTCGATCGGCCGCTGCTAACTGCTAGCGCCGCTATGCAGCCAGAGCGGCGGTATGCACAATCTCTTTCTGTTTATAGTCTAAGATCCCACTGCAGGATTGGTGCAGTCATCAGTTATTTGTTTAAAAACAAATTTTGAAGTTTATTTATAGTTAGGAGAAGATAGTATATTTACTTAGTTACCTATCAAAATTTGGACGCCATAATTTTTAATTAAATTATTTTTGATTTATTTTTTGGAAAAATTCCGTTCATTTATTTTTTTAAATAAAGAAAACTATATATGACAGTAATTTATATGAAGATTCTAAAAAATCACGGTTGCCATTGCGCACCTAGCCGCAACTCTTCGCAGCCAGCGTGTGTTCGCAAAAATTAACAAAGTAATTATAATATGTTCTCCTAACTATAAATAAATATAAAAATTTGGTTTTAAACAAATAACGTATGAACGCAGCAATCCTGCAGTGAGATCTCGGACTATTATTTTCATAGTGTTCGAAAGCACTGATTTAAATTTTGAATTGTTTGTAGAACGTCCGTTAATTGTCAAACGAAACGGGGCTCTCTGATTGGTCAGTAAACTGTTTATACTTTTGTCGCCATTTTATTATAATGCAATATTGTCATTTGTTTTTCTAAGCACAAGTGAATAACTTTTAATTAGTATAAACAGTGGATTAATTTATTAACGAATTATGGAAAATTATAGCTGTGAGTTCTGTGCTTGTGATATGTGTTTAATGAAATTAGTAACGAGTGTACATTTTCAATATTGACGTTTGGTAATAAAATTAAAATAAGTGTAAAGTCATGGTGTGTGAGCTGTTGTGACCAGTTGAGATTGAACTAAAAGAAAGGTAATGTTATTCGTTTTAATAAAAAGTATTATTATAGTTTTAATTAGTTAGCAGGTTGTGTACACCCAAATAAATTATTTTGTTTGCCTTGTTTGTTTTTTTCAAAAGATTATTATAAGAATGTTTGAAAATGGAACTCCGCTGGATATTTCTATTCAAATAACTTTTATAAAGCTGTGATGAACAGATCATAAAGTATGTACTAGATGTTCGTTCTGATCGGACTGCTGTAACATTATTCGCGAAGATTATCAATGTTTAAATGAGATTAATATTTTCTGATTACTTATCGTATTTTATTATGTTAAAAACTACATACCTACTTCCGACCTTTCGATGACTTTGCAGCAACCGTGATCACGGCGGACATCTCGTCTGCCATTTAAAAAAATAACAATATTAGTTTATTTTGACTAAATAGTTTTCACGACCGTAAGAAGATTAGTTTAATTATCAATTTAATTGGTCTCTAGTACATATTGTGGAAAATTAGATTTTGTCACCATTTATAAAAATAACTTCTAATTCAAATATCATTCCGTATAAGGGTCCGAAATATATAAACTGCAATAAATATTTCTAAGGGATTGCTATAAAGATTCAACTGAAACTTGAAATAATAAAAAAAACAAGTGAAACTGATAATTTAAAACACCGTCCGCCATGTTTTTAAGTCACAATATTGTAAACAACGTAATATCAAACGCTATTTCAGGTTATTCGTGGTCTTTCATTTATACGCCTTGATAATTATTTATACCATGTAAAGAGAATAAAAGATTGTTAGACGGAGTATACTCTCTTCTTGACAACATCCTCATCATTTGTTACCAAACGCTTGCGTTTTCTCTCCTTTTGACAACTAAATCGAGTTGGAACACAATTAGTTTTCATTCTGATTCTTTTATCTGAACCCATGATTTTATATTGTTTATAATTTTCCATGTCACTTTCAAGCTAATATAAAAACAGAACCAATGTTAACACGTGGGCAATTGACTACGCATAGTCGCTTACTGAAACTTTATTTAGAAAGAAAAAATATTAATACATTATAGTTTAAAGTGAAAATTACAAAAAAAATTATTTGTTGTAAGTTGCTTTAACTTACATTGAAGTGATCTTTACAGAAATACACTTCTGTTCGGCTGACAGAGTTACAGGATCTCTTTTAGCTAGTTGTAATCAGGTATTACACATATTCTCAACACTGGGTACTTTAATCCACAACTTTTCTGGGTTCTTTATTGATTCATTCTTACATTTCCGCTGGATATTAATAGTGATAACTACTATATTTTATCATGTAATCCTTGTGAAGCAATGGTTTTGGATTCGGATAAACAGGTTATGATAGTCACTCGTATTGTTTACAAGAATATTACGTCACGGCACAGATAATTAGTAGACCATCATGGCGGACGGCGTTTATGACTGCATAGCGAAAATATATTTGTAAATTTAAAGTTTTTTAGGATAGGTGTTTCAAAAAATATTATATTTTTTTTTTATGGCGTAATATAATCGTAATGAACCGTTCTATGAAATAATAAAAATATTTACTTTCAGATGAATATTGTTCGTCACGACATCGTTTACGACGTAAGTACATTTTTATACACTTATCGCCTGAAGAAAAGTTTTTTCACAGTAATTATTGCATAGTGCATTTATTCATAGGTTTTCTCGTTAAGGATTTTAGTAGGATTTTATATTGTAAAAGTAATGAAAACAATTAAGAGAACAACCTTAATGATCATTTGGCTTAATTTATGTTCTTGAGGATTTATGCTTTTTATGCATTTAACATTTCTTCGTGCTTGTCAAACTTTTTAATTAAATTTTAATACCTTATGGAATTATTCTTTTGAAAATTCATGAAAAATATTTTTCTAGCCAAATTTTCCATAACTGATTTTATTTATTTAATCCACGTTTACCATTAAATATTGAACACATTCAACTATCCCTACTAATATTATGAATGCCTAAGTAGCTCTGTCTGTCTGTCTGTTACGCTTTCACGCCTAAACCACTGAACTGATTTTAATGAAATTTGGTACAGAGATGGAGTTGACCTTGAGAAAGAACATAGGATAGTTTTTATCCCAGACTTTTGAAAGGTTCTCTTGGAAACGCGATATAACCGAACTCCACGCGGGCGAATCTGCGGGCGGAAGCTAGTCTTCATATATTTCTGTCGCAACAAAAATTCTTTCATATCAATCGTTTTTCAGTTATGGTAACCATTTATTTCACCACGCTTTATAATGTTACATTTTATTTTAATATCAACATAACATTTAACTATAAAATTTTAATCTAGTATATAATTGTATTAGTTTCGAGAATTCGATGATATTTCGCCTAGTTTGTGTGCTAAATAGGACAGGGTATTGAAATTAATTACTACTTTCGGGGAAGGTGATCAAAACATGCAAAACCAAGTGATTCTACGAGCTTTGCACACTTAGTGAGTGGAATTGTAATCATCATTTGTTTCAATAGCTAATGTCGATGAATTTCTAGTATCCAGTTCATCTGGAGTATTATTACCTTCAGTCTTTGTTACTTTTTAAATTTATTTTAGATTTATTGGTTTAAGCATTCAAACTGAATTTAAAAAGAAAGTCGACTGATAAAGTCCAGATGACTCAATACATCTTTTTGTATCCTTTTCCGACATTTCACTATTTTTCATTGAAATATATATTTACAAAAAATTATTTGTGATTATGTGAAAATTGGTAATACTATTATAAAATATTTATCTTAATATATCTTAATCAATAATCAGTATAATCTATAAAAATAATATAATTTCTTTCAAATATTTTATTTTAATTTATTGATTATAAATTTCAAATAAATAATGCTGAGGTTGCATGAAATATTGTATTGCTACAAATAGAAGATTAGTGCAATAATTATGGAAACGTTTGAAATATTTCAGTGTTAAATTCAGAGACAATCTTTTATAAACATTAGAATTTTGTAAAAATCTGTGAATAATATTTTTTACTTCAACATATTGCTTTATTAAAATATAGTTCCAATAAATAGATCAAAAGCCTACAACGAAGAGTGTATGTTTTGCAAATAGATAGCCACTACCTGTAAAAAGATTTTATAATTTATAAACCATAGCAAAATACGAGGATATATTTAATTAGCTGGAAATCTCCTTTTCTTTTGTTATTTCCAATACTCATCAATTGACATATTCTAAAAAATCAAACAGGAGTTGATTGATGTCAAAACGGCTCACTTTTCTCCTCGCCGTGTTTCAGTTTAGCACCTAAAACTTCTCCCTTAAAAATCGTTTCATCAACTCTCCCAAATAATCGGTTCACATGAATCTCATATAGTAGACAGCGGATAAAGTCTTGGCTGTTTACTGCTACAACACATAACGACACAACAACAGTTACACACTTTCGAAATATATAAGGTATTAATATTAGTTTTAGGAGAACCGCAGTGGTAAGCTAAAAAATTAAGTAATAACATTAAATTTTCTTGATTTAAAGCTATCTTGAAAACATATTTTGAATATATCCCAAAAGAAAGATTTAAACACGCTCCGAAAATCTACGATTGATAAAACTATCATACCAACTCGCGTTTTGAACGAGAAAAGAACCCTGATATTCTTTGACAAATTCTTATACATATATGGCTCGCCCCTCTTATACTCTCCAATATTCCTACAATATTATAGTTTTATCATTTAATACTTTTTACAAATTAAATAAATATGTTCAAGATAATTATATTCGACAACAACAACACAATTTCAAAAAATTGCAAACTCACACCGGCTGTAAAATAGATTTTCCTTAAAACTACGTAAATATATTGTATTTAATTACCCTTTTGTCAAAGTTAGATGCAGGCGTCATAAAGATGTTGAAGTTGTGGCTCGGGCTCGCTCTAACGGCTGATTCATCGGCGTTATTTAGGGGAAGCAATAGTTTTGGGATGAGTCTAAAAAGGTCATCGGAGCTCTATAAACACCTAAGAGTTTCCAAGAGATATATCCTGGGGAAATCCCATGATGACGTAGTGACATCGCTCCCAAAAGATGAAGATGCCCCCGAGCTAGAGTCGCGACTTCAATTCCATTAGCAATTTATGATAGGAGCACAAAGTAACAGAGTGGGGTTAGGATCAAATAGGAAAGTCCAAGATGCGGATATATTGAAGTCTTTTATTCGGCAAGACGAGAATGATAAATATAAGATCCATGTAATGAATTTAGAAATGCAGAACGAGTGTTTAGACATAGGAGATTTTTGCATCCCATTAGCATTAAAATGGCGCACTTTAATTCATGACTGGTCGCCAGCATTGCTAAAATTCTATCTCAATGCGTTCCAGATGACTCTCCCAGATCAGAGTAATTTAGTAAGATGGGGTAAAAGTACCGAAAAAAAACTTGCTATATCTGTGGAAAGGCAGTTGGAACTGCTAAACATCTGCTGGTGGGATGTAAGGTACTCCTGGACAGCGGTCAATACTCGCGTCGTCACGATAGGGTTTTAGAAGTCATACGTGAAGCGGTTAGTCTTTCGGTAGCCAGAGTGCAAAAGGAAATTACCACAAACGAACGATCAGTAGGTTTTGTGAGAGAAGGCACTAGGGCTACAAAATCAAACGTCAAGCCTTACTCCATCCTTAAAGCGGCGTCGGATTGGACTATAATGATGGACACGTATGAAAAACAATATAAAATCCCCGAGGACATTTGTGCGTCAGCCTCCAGACCGGATATATTTTTGTTTTCGCGAATTTTAAAGCGCGTAGTGATGATAGAGCTTACGGTCCCTTGGGAAACCAACATCCCCAAAGACCATACCATCAAGGTCAACAAATATTACGAGCTCACAAACGAACTCACTCGAAATAGGTTCGTAGTAGATTTGTACGCGGTGGAGGTGGGAGCGAGAGGTATTACAGCGAAATCTCTCTATAACCTACTAAAGGACTTGAGCTTGTCCAGAACTCACATTAATTCATTCTTAGAACGTACATCGAAGGCAGCCCTAGTAGGTTCTTTTCAAATTTGGTTAGGTAGGGAGAGGAGCTTGGACAGTGGAGGTGAGCGTATAACGCGCGTTAGTTAAGGGGCCCCTTAAACCTACACCTGGGTCGCAAGTCCCAGGCACTGTTGAAGCTCCTCTCCCTGCAACGCGATGGACCCGGCACCCGCACGGTGAATCCATGGATTGCTGAGAAGTTTCGTCTCATTAAGATGCATATATGTACATAACTGTAGAGTGGTTCAATGAAAATCGGCAAGACATTAATTTGTTAAACCTTAATTTGCACTGTTGATGATATAAAACATTTAATACAAGTAAGAATGACGGGACTTTATAAATAAAAGGTTTAAATTTGTATAAAATTTAAACAGCCGAGCCACACGTTACGTTAGTTGCCTACACATAAACATTACTCTAAATAAGAGTTCATACTGTTTAGTGCTCATTTAAAATAAATATACATAGTAAGTAAAGTTTTACAAAAACAATCAAGTTTCATGATATTTAACATTTAAACTATAATAAGAATTTAATTATTACATGGGCATTAACTAGACTTAGGTAGGTATTATAACAATTTTAATGCAAACAATCTTCAAATATCTAAAAAATAATAACATATATTCTAAGTATTTTCATATATAAATTTAACGTGTTTTTGAATTCCCTAAATGTGTATGGAATTTTCTTCTATTCATGGTCGTTTTAAATAATGCTAGAAGTTATTGTTGTGAGTAAAGACAGTAATTTTATAAGGTATTCTTAACATTATGAATGTCACTTATTTATATGTAAAGTCATTATATATTATTTATATGTAAAGTCTGTTACTTATTTATATGTAAAGTCATTATTATAGGACATATTTATATGTAAAGTCATGCATGCCCTTTTCTAAAGCGAATGATTGGTTAAAATATAAAGATTAAATGGAGAAGAAATACCGAGAACTATTTTTGTAAATGTTTACGTATGTTCATGATTAAAAATATTTTAAAGGTTGCCTGGAAGAGATCGCTGTTTTAGCGATAAGGCCGCCTATTAGTACATTTTCCTTTCTTTGTTTTTCTCTTGTTATTTCTGTCTATATTGGTGTACATTAAAGAGTAAATAAATAAATAAATAAATAAACATACTCGTACGTCGACGGTTTGACCCTTTGGGTACTATAAAAAAAACCTTTAAAATTATCTGCCTTCATAGTCTTAAATCCATACTCGGATTGTTAAATCTAATATTAATGAATTCCATAATATTATATGGTTTCATATTATTATATATACATACGTTATAATATAAAATACAACAATGGTACTTTATTATTAACGAGTTATTTATATTTTAGTCAATACTATTGTTCATTTCATTCCATTCTATTTTATAACATTGTCAGGTTCTTATGATAACATTCATGAAAAGAACTTTGTCTTCAATAGTTTATTTCATAATTGATCGTTAGTTATTGTGTTCTTCTTTACATGTTGCTATTTGTTATAAAGTCTCTTGAACTTGATTGCTATAGGAATACGCCGTTCTTGTTCAAGATATCTTTACATTATTAATAAAGTGCGACGTTGAGAAATTGCTTTGAACCACTATCACTATGATGTATGGACGTGATAGGTTCAAGTACAATTCAAGTAAATTATGTAGATAATTTTTATTTCTTTAATTAAAATTTGGAAGCTAATGTGATAGAAAACTTTGTATAGTAATTTTTATTTTAAATAAGATCTTTCAATAGGCGAAATAATTATTTCGATGAATACCTTAAGCGTCCTGGTTAAACAAAGGGAAACAAAACGAGAAGTTTAATGAGTGAGTCTCAATATAAATAAAATAAAATAAAAATATTTTTGATGCCTACTTAGAAGTAAACGGTTAATCAAACTACGTAATAGATAAGTAAGTAACACTTTTTCTATACATTGTCAATTATATCACAGTAATTAAAAACGTTTCATAGAATACTTAATATAATCTCTTTAATCACATCATTCTTAAAAATCTTTTTAATCAATTAAGATTGTTGGACAAAATTCGATTCTTTAATTCAAAACTAATGCAATGTTTCGTTTTCGTTGTATTACTTTAGAGAAAGTATGTTTTTCTTTTCCTATGTCAAAAACGAAATAACAATAAAATTGAGGACACAAGTCAGTGACACTTCCTTTGTTAGAAGTATTAAAATGAAATAACGCCTTTAATGTTATACGCGACACATGTCCTTGGGCACGATGAAAGAAGGCAATATACATTGTTGGTTCCATCTTTAGAAGATTCTGAAAATTTTCATAATTTTAATTTATAAAAATTTCTGTTTATTCGATATTATTCAATACAAACTATATCATAAAAACATTCTTCGTAACACTTGTTATTTTAAGACTTGAGTGATGATTATTCAATAGAAGTGCTGGGTTCAAGCCGTTAGGTTCAAATCATTCATTTTATACGGGGAAAAGAATTAGGTACATCGTTAATATAAGAAATATATAAGACACAAACTTGTCTACTGTTAAATTACATTTAAAATTAACTATTGTTCATGATACACTTATTTAATTAATCATTGTAATTACATATATTAAGGAACTGTAATAATTGATTTTAAGAATTCAGTCTTTTCCCACTCCTGTCAGATTTGCGGACGATCTGCTTTACAAAGCCGAGGAAGTCACTACAGTCCTAAAATTGTTGCTACTTAATTATGTTGTCATATGAAAGCTTGTTTAAAGAATTCGAACATTAAGTATCCCTACTAATATTATAAATGTTAAAGTAGCTCTGTCTGTCTGTCTCTCTGTTACGCTTTCACGCCTAAACCACTGAACTGATTTTCATGAAATTTGGTACAGAGATAGAGTTGACTTTGAGAAAGAACATGGGATAGTTTTTATCCCAGACTTTTGAAAGGTTCTCTTGAAAACACGATATAAGGGAATTCCAAGCGGGCGAAGCTGCGGGCGGAAAGCTAGTTGTATTATAAAATCTATTATTTACTTATTTGAATTGATATTTTGTAATTTAAACAGAAACAAATAGGCAAAAAGCCATAGAAATCCTTTTTATAATTTTTTTTTTTAACAAAAATTCTCAATATATTCATCGTTAAATTACATAGAGTTCTGAATCACAAATTTATTATAATAAAAATGCCATGACGTTTGAGATACTACTTTAATGAGATAGTTTTTTAAGGATCCGCTGAATTACCTTTTATGTTTGTCGGCGCAGTTACCATTTTAATAATCAATAATTGAGGGTAGATAAATTATCAGGTGTCGTTCGCGTAACAACCTGTCCGAGTGAAGTCATAACAATGGCTGTTAGTCATTATAAATAGAGGCGAGATTACTGATTACAGATGGTCGTGCTGGAGCCGTCGCGGGGATCGAACCTCTTGGAAGTGAAACACCGCCCCACCGGCTGTGAGGGCTGTGAGGTTACCTTCGATAGCCTCAAGGGCTGACGACATTCGAGAACAAACCGCACTGGTGACGTCAGTTATGCTGACGTCACTCATTTTAAAAACCACGTTTTGGCACCTTCTCCGATATGTTTTATGCTCTTTAGTCACGTTCTCTTATGTAGTCTGATTTTATAGAATAAATAACTTTTTATTAAACTCGTTAGCGGGAAGATGAGATGAAATTCATTTTTAAAATACTTTCTCAATAATAAATCAACCTTTAAAATATTTGTTATAGTATTGAAACAAATTATACATAATTTTTATTTCTGCATCCAATTGTTTTTTTTATGAAATTTAATAACCAAGTTGTTTAACTTTTGAAGGGAGAACTACAACATACTTTTGATTTTTTTTTTTTTTTTTTTTTTGTTATCGCGGTGAAAGGTTTTATACCTACCCCTCCGTCTAGGGGAGACAGAGGCGGTTATGTGGGATTCACGGCCAGAAGGGCCCATGTTACCCACTAAAACACCAGCGGTCACTCTCCGTTGCCGCCAAGTGGATCGCCACGGGAAACGCCGAAGCATGCATCCGCGACGATCCGGCGGCGGGCCGCGAACGGCCACCTCCCCCACCGAGAGCTCACTCCAAGTGACCAGGAGTGTCCCTCCGCCTGGCGGGCTTGCTTAATCGCGAGAGGGTTAACCCCTTACCCCTCCCACCCAAGCCCACGCGGCCAGTCTCCAACCACCCACCGACGAGCGCAAGCGCCCGACGGCAGACAGAGAGGAAACCGACCGACCACAAGCGAACTCAGGCCTCCGGAGAGACCCGAGTATCTCCTCCCCCCCAAGACAGCCACGGACGGCCTCCTGCCAGATCCGTGACCGTCTTACTCCCAGGGCTGTACCCCCAGCCCTCCCCCCCGTGACTGATTGCACCGGAATACACCAGTGGGCGATGGGGTCGTCACGTCCCGACGCCGGAATACTTTTGATTTTAATTCAATTAAGCTTATTTCTTCTTTTTCATTACATTTAATTCCATTTGTTTGTAATCAATTGTTCGCTGACATTTCCAATTTTTGAATATCATTCCAAAGCTATATTACGTAGTTTCATACATGTGACTTTGGCCAATAATTTTTTCATGAATTATTTAAAATTTCTATTTTATTTATTACATTATTGTATAAAAATGAAAAATCTTAGCCTAGTTAATAAAAAAACAGGTCAAAATTAATTACACCTACTTTTTAAAAAACCCATATTCGAAACCACCATTTTTTTAATGTAAACAAGTAATATATATTTTTTCGGAATATTATTTAGATTTTTATCACTTTAACATATGTAATATTGTATTTTATTTCTAACATTAACATTAATCATGATTATTTTCATAATATTTTAATTTATCATTTGAAATTCAAAGTTATGGTTATATGTGATAGAACCTAAATAATCTGAGTTTCAATTTACATTACACAATAATACGTTTGGGACGAGAAAAGAAACTGTTAATCTTATCTTTTAATAAGTGAGTAAGTTTAATAAATAGTTAGTCGACGTTAAGGGGACATTTCTAAGCTTCTCAATTTACGCGAAAGTCACTATATTGAAAGCTATAAAGAAGGGTACTACTTCTCGATGTTCACGTTAACTGA